ATCGAACCGATCGAACCGCGAATCGGCCACCTCTCCGGTTCACTGGCCGGTCCGAGTTTAAAAACGTTGGAGACGAGTAAAGTGCAACTGAGGGTAAAATTAGGGGGTTTGATGCATTTAACTCTTACGAAATAGTGAATCTTTTTAAGAAACTTTTTCGTACCTTTTTAGTACTACAACACTTTTTTCTAAATGCGCTAAACTGTTATGATCTCAATGATGATCATACAATTTGCCTTTTTCAAATGTTTAAAAATCACTGAAAACGTCTAAATGCGCTAAACTGTTAAGATCTCAGCTCATAATTGATACTACCCCATTGGCCCTTTGGTAATAAAAATAGCTCACAGGTCATAAGTCACTGCTCAAAGGCATTTTCGTCCTTTCACAAGGTAATAAAGACATTTTGATTTTTCTTGGCCTCTCTACAGCTCAAGCCCACAAAGGCAGAGTAAGCAATTTGTTTAGTCAAGGAGCAAGTAAATAGTAGTGATGCTCAACCCGTTGCGACTCGTGGGACAGCAGCGTATCTAGCCGTTACAACACTTCCACCGTCTTCTTCATTTTTTTTTTCAATTTTAAAGAAAGGAAAAACTTTTTTCAAACAAACTTGATCGACCGTTGGTCTCTTTACTCAGTATACATCAAGAACTTGACTCTCTCTGAAATCCAAAGCTGTGAATTCTCTGCCAATTAGTATTGGTTCTGGAAGACAGTAGTGTGATGGCCAGCGATCTCGTCTTCACTGAAGATGAACTTGCGATTGACGAAGCACTGGGTCACCCAAAAGTTTACGCCAAGCTATGCAGAGATAGAAGTTTAGGACCCTATAGCCATGGCCCTCCTTTCGCTTTCATCCCTTTTGCTCTTCCTCAACAGGAGGTAACCAGCTACTGAAGAACTCCTTCCTTCCTTTTCTTTTTTTCTTTTTTTTTTCCCTTTCTTTCCCCCTCTTTTTGGGCTTTGAATTGAAGGTCTATTTAATTGGTGAGAACCCAGAAGAAATATATGAGCTCAACTGATCTGTTATATGAGTTCTTAATTGTAACTGTTTAAGGTTTCTGGGCTACAATCTGTCTTTTTAGTTATAAATATTGGGACGATTTGTAGCCCAATTTATGCTGAAGCATTGCTGTTTCTCTTCATTTGAAGTCAACTACGACGAATTTAATGTTGCTTTGGATTGACTGCTCGTTTCTTGAAAAATCATTTCTGATAATACGGTGGTTCTCTCTCAGAACATCAATTAGTCGTGTAATTATCAGGCACGAATCACCCCTTTTACGTTGAGAATTGTTGTTATGTATCAAGTCTAAGGGCGGTGGCCTTTTGTCTTGCGTATTAATCTCAAAAGTGGGACTCTTACACCAACCACGCAATCTAATGCTATACCTTAATTATTGAAATATGTTGTGAATTTCTCTGATTCTTGCAAGCTGATGTGCTAACAGGTTGTGAAAGCACAGGAGCTAGATGAATTGTTCCCCATCATTGACTCGAAAGCAAAGCCAACTACCAAGCCCAAGATTTTCCTCGGTCTCCTTTGGAAACAACTCAACCACCTTGGGTAAAGATTGAAACTTTCTTGTTATTTGTTCGCATGAAAAATCTCTGAAATTTTCCCACAGAAGTTCGTTTCTAACACTTGTTACTAATTCAATTAATCAGAAATGCTGGTTTGGATCCTGAAATATTTCGTGTTGACCCGTATGGCAATGTTCTGTATTATCATGCTGATGCTGCTTCGCCTCTTGCATGGGAAATTGACCATTGGTTTCCTTTATCAAGTAATGATCTAGTGTTTGCCTAAATTTTTTCCTACTCCTGACGTGGTCTCGGTCTGTAGAATTTGAATCATTAATATTGTTTTAACACAATATGCAGGAGGAGGATTAACAGTAGCTAGCAATTTAAGGATTCTGCAGTGGCAAGTGTGCAAGAAGAAGCATAATGCACTGGAATTTCTCATACCATGGTGGGATCTTCAAGTTGGTGTGTCCATAAATCAGTTCTTGTCCATCTTTGCCTCATCCAATTCAGATTTCAGGTTTGTCATACATTTCTCTTCGAAGAAAGCAACGTTCAATTAGCAGATTTTTCCCTTTTTTTTTAAATATAATTGATGGTAATGTTATTCTTACATATACATTGATATAGGCGTAGAGCATTCTCGTGGTTGTTTGCTGAGGGTGAAAGTGAAGAACTGAATGCTTGTCAGACAGTTGATTCACATTCTTTTCCACAACACTTCATCGAATCCAAAAAGAAGGTTGGTCTGGCCCCGGCTGCCGTTGTTCTATCTCGAAGGGAATCTATGGAAGCTTCATCAGCTTTGAGATCACTGGACGTCAACAGAAAACCAAGATCAACAACACCCATCATTGGTCGGTAAAGAAAATACTTCACGATTTCTTGGTTTTGCACCATTGAGCTTTACTTTTGCTTATTTGTTTTCATGTTGGTTGTGGCAGCTGCAAAAAAATTAAAGCCTGCTTCCAAAGAAAATGAAGACCCGGGGATGATCAGCAGCAACCCTTACCAGGCCATTGTAATTGCCAGGGATTCTTTGAGGAAGAGAGAAGAAACAGCAAAGATCCAAGCTGAATTACAGAAATTAGATGTGGAAGTTGATGAACTGAGGCAGAAGACTGAGGAGGAACATGTCAGCATACAAGATTTGGAGTTGGTGCTGATAAAAAGAAGACGAAGGGCTGAAAAGTGTCGACGGCTAGCTGAGGCACAATCTTCATACAGAGCAATGCTAGAAAAGATGATTCGAGATGCCATGCACCAGTAAGATTAATATGGCACAAATTTTCTTTAAGAGTAGCATCCTGCTTCGATTTATTGGTGAGTTGAGACATATATTTGCATTTTCCTCTTGCAGGAGTGTTGTTTACAAAGAACAAGTCAGGCTAAATCAGGCAGCAGCCAACGCACTCATGGCTAGACTTGAAGCTCAGAAAGCAATTTGTGATACATCAGAGAGGGAACTGCATAAGAAGTTCAAACAAAGGGACGAGCTAGAAAAACAAGTAAGACCTGAATGGGTACAGGCAAGGAAGAGATCAAGAATGGATGATTTTCTTCCTGACGAGGTAGAAAACAAGATTGTTCTGTATTTACCTGAAAGTAAGTCAAAGAACAAAATGCAGATGGAAATGAGAAATGCCTTGCTAGAAAACAATGCCCTGTATGTGCAAGGATTTCAGTCCAATGGTCCTTTGCACAAGGAACTGAGAAAGTTTTTGGAGGAGGAGCAGAAAGCATCAGAAGCTGGGTCATCATCCTTGAAAGAAAATGGGGAGCAAGAAGAACTAGGAGAAGAAACCAAAGAAACTGTTCTAAGGACTAGCATGGAAAAGCACGGGGAGTCTAGAAATCACAAAGCCATAGCAGCTGAGCAGAAGTCAATTGATGAAAAACTTCATAACCTGGAAATAGGGGAGGATGGGATGATAGGTAACATACGCTTTCCTGCTCATGATGCACCAGAAGATGAGGAGGATGAAGAGAGCAGAAAGCAACGTGGTAAAGGAAATGTTGAAAAGTGGCTTCAGATGCTGATGGAGAATGCAGAAGAAGATGCTGATTCATATCCTCGTGATGTGAACCAAAATGAAGGTAACAAGACTGATGAAATAATTAGGAAGCTAGATCTTGTGTATCCACAAAAGGAATTCAAGATTTCAGAAGCTCAACAAGGGCAGGACCTGGAATGCGTTGATGAAATTGACAGCCAGCAGCAAATCCCTGTGAAAGGTGGGGGGGAAAGCGAAAAAGAGATTGTTGAGATTGAAACTAGGAGGAAGTCATTTTCGAACACTGGAGAGATGCAGGGAGATAAAAAGAAAGGTATCCTTGAGCTGAAATCCAGGGACACGCCAATTAAGAACCCTCCATACAGATTAAAACCAGAGAAAAGCAATGCACATCAGATAAGATCTGATAACAAAGGAGCAGACAACCATGATAACAATGTTGTAAATGAAAGGAAGGGGAAGAATGGTAAGGAAAAGGAACTTGTGAGATCTGAAAGTGCGAGGAGTTTTAGACGGATTCCATCTTCTCCATCTCTGATCTTCAGTGGTATGAAGAAGAGAGTAGATTGCATGGGCAAGAAGCCCTTGGTCATTGGTGATGATGCTGATGGTGATCAGAGACACATGGGAGAAAACAACATCATCAAGTCAACAATCAAGACAATCAAGAGAGTTTTTTAAAACAGTCAAGTTACATATTTTACTTGTATCTTCTCTTCACATTCTTCGTTTAGAGTGTTAGCTACACTCTGCTACAGCAATATGATTGATTGGTGAGGTTTGAGTTGTTTGATTTTGATTCATGTGTGCTAATTATTTGTTATGCAAGACATGCAATAACAACTTCTTGTTTGATAGGATTCAAACACATTAGCTTTCTGTGTCCGCTACCCTGTGAAGAAAATTTTATCTGTGTATTGCAGTCAATTATATCATCTGCCAAAATTTTAAAAGAAAAAGGGAAATCCAAGTTCAATGATGATTCCCCTTTACCCCCCCCCCTCCCCCGGCACGCTAATTTCATGATGTTTTTATGATTTCATATCTATTCATGTGAAAGACAATAACTGATGATTGGTTATTGGCAATATTTACAGCAGTGTTTCATGCACAACCAGCTGATTAGCAAGTGAACAATAAAAAGTTGTGTACAGCAGTAAAGAAACCTGCTTGAGCGCCTTATTCGGAACACTTCATATGCAACACTATCCAAACAAGCCACCCGACCCAAACCCAGAGATTACTGCCCTGTGAAAAGTATGTTGGACAAAGTATAAGAAGTCTTTTTCAAATAAAACAAAGCATAGACCGGTCATTTTTCTATATCTGGTAAATTTCTCATCTTAGCAAATTTGCCATTACTACCACAAAAGCCTATACTCCTCTCTTGTTACATTGCTAGCTAAACAGTTTTTGCTCTATCAGAGATATACCACTAAGTTAACAACAAACTATTTCATGCTAATATCACTATCACTTTCTTTTTGGTATAAGGACTGTTAAGTGGTACAAGGGGAAGAGAGACGAGGGCCAACGAGTTAAATTGGGCTCCTCATGGTGTACAACTGACGTCCCAAGCAGCTAACCTAGTTTTTACTAACAAATATTCAACCTAAGCATCTCAATTCACTTGACCAACAAATTCGACGTCTAACAGCAATACATTTAGTAGGGCGTCTAGGGAGAACAGTTAGTCTGCTATCTCAAGCAATGAACTGCTGAGGCTTTTTCACAAGGCATGTGTTTGCTCTTCTTCCAAGCGGTATAGTTGGATGCAGCTCCAAACGGTCAAACTGTACATGGTACCCGCTAAATTTGTTGATCCAGCGTTTTTCTGAGAATAAGTGGGATATATTAGAACCTATCTGAAGCTAAGAATGGCCCCAATAACCCTCATCCCCGCATGAGCATTTCCCATCCTTGAAATGATGGAAATGTTCAGTATCCCGCACAGATATCTCTCTACGAACAACCTTTGAAATAAACTTTACAGTGCTGTGACAGCTTTGACACATATAAAGATTCTTTGTTATCCAAATTGGCATCCCAGGGACAGTGTTTATCAGTGCAAATGCAATTGCCAATCTCTCACTATGTCCACAAAAAACCTCAGCTTTTGAAGCTTCAAGTTCATTTTCGAAACAGCTCTGAGGCTCAGTAAGACCTTCTGCTCTCATCTTAACATAAAATCCCTCCAGAACTGCATTAAGTTCTTTTATTTGAGGGTGGAAATCGTGACCACTTAGAAAGGCATGGACTTTGCCCTTTACTTCTACCCAACTACATCCAGGATCAACAGTAATCCCTTTTTCTCTCATCATTCTCCTGAGATGTGCAACATCATCCCATTTACCACACTCAGAGTAGAAATTGCACAAGAGCATGTAGTAACCAACACTCTCTTTATCCATTTCCACTATGTGCCTTGCTGCAAGTTCCCCAACATCAACTTGTCGGTGAATTCTGCATGAATTCAACAAGGCTCCCCAGATAGCTGCATCTGCTTTTATGGGAATTTTATGTATAAAATCAAGAGCATCATTGACCTTCCCTGCACGACCAAGTAAATCTACCACACAAGCATAATGTTTCAAATTTGGAGCAATGCAGTAAGCGTCTCTCATGCTCTCAAAATAAGTCAAGCCTTCGCTCACCATGCCCGATCTACTACAAGCACATAGAAGAGATATAAAAGTAATTTCATCTGGCTCAACCTTCGACTGCACCATTCTATCAAATAGCTCCATGGCCTGCGTACCCTGCCCCCGCTGGGCATATCCTGTTAGCAAAATATTCCATGCAGCAACGTCCTGTCTCTGTATTCTAAATTGATTCAATGCAGGGGCCATCCTTCCACATCGCACATACATGTCTAGGAGTGCATTGGGTAGAAAACCGTCAAATGCCAACCCATTCCTTAATACATGAGAATGTATCTCCTTTGCACACATCAAAGCTCCTATTCTAGCACATGCACCAAGAACAGAGATCAATGTAACATCATTAGGATTTACACTGAGTTTCATTTGCCTAAAGAAAATCAAGGCTTCGAAACTTCTGTTGTTGATCCGAAGCCCGAGAATAATCGATGTCCAAGATATCACGTTCTTGTCAGATATCCGATGAAAGATCTCCAGGGCCTTATCAATGCATTTGCATTTCGAATAAAAATCAATAAGAGTGTTCGCAACTATAACATATGATACAAGACCTGTAGTCTTGGCAAGCTCATGAAGCCTAACACCCATGTCGAAAAGACTCAAAGAAGTACATGCAGACAAAACACTGGCGATGGTGATCTCATCTGGCATAATACCATGTAGCTCCATCGTTTTATAAGTTTCAACAGCCTTCTCAGGCAAACTATTACTCTCATAAGCAGAAATCATTGCTGTCCAAGAAACCACATCTTTTAACTCAATCCTGTTAAAAACTTTTTCAGCTTCCTCCCACTTCCCAACACTTGAGTACATCTGAATCAATGTGTTATCCACCGCAACATCAACCCCAAACTCAGTCTTTACCACATATCCATGCAGAGCCCTACCAAACCTCTCATCACCAAGAACCTCAGATGCCGAGATCACGCTAGTCATTGTCATCAAATCCGGGTTAATACAATACTCCCGCATCAAAAAGAACAACCTCAACCCCTCAAAACATTCACCATTCTCAAAATACCCTGAAATCATTGCATTCCATGATATCCTGTCTCTCCTAAGCATTCCATCAAACACCATTCTCGCACTACCCAAATCATGACATTTTACATACATAGTAATCAAAGCGTTAACCACATCAACATCTGATATAAATCCAAACCTAATTACATGATCATGAATTTCTCTACCCCTACTCCAATCCCCCATACCCCCACAAGTTCTTAAAACACAGGGGAAAGTAAAAACATCAGGCCTATAACCAGCCCACAACATCTTATGATACAAATCCAATGCCTCATCAAAATATCCATTTTTGGCATAGCCACCAATCAAAACATTCCAAGAAAACACATCTCTGTCCTCCATTTTACCAAACACATACCAGGCATCACTCAAGTTCCCCAACTTCACAAACATGCTCAACAACGCATTTCCTAACCTTAAACTCAACTGGGACCTAAAGCTTAGAATATGCTCATATATTACACCCCCTTCATTTAACGCCCTCTTAAATTCACACAACCTAATTAAAGAAATAAATGTTTCTTCATCTATATTACTTTGTGGGTCTTTTGGTAAAGTGTTTAGGAAGGTTACGGCTTGGTCTAGCTGGTTTTGGAGGCAAAGTTGGGTGAGGTGTGAGTTGGGGTCAGCAGTTGGGTGGACTGCGGAGCTAAGGAGTGAACTGCGGGTTCTTCTGAGGGGAAATTGATGCGCTTTCTGTGTACTGTTTGAGAAAATTAGGGACTTGGAGGTCTGAAAGTTGGAGACTTGGGGATTGAGTAGGTCAGAGTGGAGAGAAATGGACGGGGTTTTAACAGACACCGCCATTTGTGGAGCTGCAGAAGCAGAGCATTGTTGGTGTGATAGTTTCGAGTGGGGGTTTTGGCTGAGGTTTAACGGCTAAGACATGCTGCCGGGTAATTGGATAATGTACAGCATAGATTGATGACAAAACGACCCCGTCTGCAGCAACCAAATTTAATATTTGCGAGCTAAAGAGTTTCTCCCTTGCTCTTTTTGCTTGTACTTAAATGCCTTGTTAGCAACTGATTTTATATAAGTTTTGACAAGAAATTAGCTCTTTTTATGGTAGAATGACATGACATTATGGTTTTGATCAGGATAAGCCAAATTGAAATGAGGATGCTACGCTGCTCTGAACTCCTGCGCCTCCTCAGAAATAAAAATTTCTAAAATCAGACAAAATAGTGCCGTTTAAAAATATTGATAGAATCACAATGTGCAAACCATTATCGTGTTTTGCCAATGGAAACTGATAGCAACTGTAAAATTCTGGAACTTTTGCCAATAACTTGTTGAATATCTACAGGATAAAGGCAGAGAAACTTTTCTACTCTAAGTAGTTTCGGGAAAATGTCGTCGACTTCGCAACTTACAACAGGTCGAACAGTGAAAAAATGAAGAGAAATCAGGAAAATCAGGGTATTTATTATCCTCCAGAAGTGAACATTTTAAGTTACCGAATGACACTTGAAAATCTAAACATATTAATGTTATACAATTACAAAGCATTATTGAGAAATCCAACATATTAGAATCCATTTTCAACCTCAATCTCAAGACAGAGAATTCCTCCATTTGGGTGGTTTTTTGCCTTTGACAAGCCTAGTCTTGACATCAACAGGAGTTTGTCTTCCAAAATCACCTTCTCCTTCAACGTTAGTTAACTTGTTGGCTCTAAACGAAGGCATTACAATCTTCTTCCAGCTGAAAAGTCCCTTCTTTTTCTCCAGTAATCTCTCAATTTGTCCTTGCATGTTCATGCAGTGGCTTTGAAGCCTTAAAACATCTTCTCTGAGCTTCTTGATCTCCAACTGCTGAGCATTCATTTCTCGCTTTGACATGCACCTGGCAGGGGGATCTAGCCCCATGTTCGGGCTACGGGTGCCGCTGAAGGATCCACTCCAGTCGATCTGCTTGTTGAGCTTTGTTTGCTCTGAGAATAACACTTGAATTACTGCCCGCACCGGCAAACGCTCGTTTTGGGCAGCATGCAACGAGGCCTCTGCTGACAGTTTTCTACTGTCGATTAATCGGCAAAGATTCTTCCTTTCTTGCTTTGATACTCCCCGATGTGCCTGCCAGTAGTCCGGAGTAAATTTATCAGCTAGATTGTTGTTGTATCTATAAATATTAACCAGTAAATTACTTCCCAAAAGATTTCTTCGATTGACATGAATTGTACATTTAGTTCGAACAAATTTATGTACATCAAAAGATTTGGTGATACTACTGTATTTTGAAAGCCATGTTCATATGTGTTCATGAGTTGATGTGATTGATGATCAAATGCCATGCCTCGACGTCGACTACAGCATTGAAGAATCAATTTAAAGGCTATGAACCATCTTCCAAACTTTTTACGTGTGGATAAAAAGAAAAGGGGCGCTCGTGACACTACTTTCCAAATCCTTCATATGAGGACAATACCAAACCCCTTTTTTGGTCTACTTTCTTTGTTCATTGTTTGTCTGGTGTAGTCATATGACTCGCATCTGTTTCATTTTGTTTTGATAAGCAGAACAATGCAGCTTGTTGGCTGTGCGATGAAGAATCTAATGCTGGTGACAGCACAACAACTCCTACTTCCCCAAATTTGGCATCTATCCTAATTCCCCTCACCAAATGAGGGTGTAATGTTAATTTACTATACCAGAAAGAAAAGCAACACGCATACAAAAAATTAAGCAAAACTCTATCAAGGGTATAGCAAGAGCCACCAAGTATATATATGAATATAGGGTAGACTCGAAAAGTTCAGGAGGCAGCAGGAGAAAATAAAAAAAACATAAATAAAAATAAAAATTTTTTAAAAAATGAAGAATTGAAATTGTTCCAACTTACTTTGAGATAGGTGTCAATGGCTCTGTATAAGCCATCATCAATAGAACGAGCATGAGCCGGGAGTGCTCCAGCAAGAGCAATGAAATCAGACAACGCCAAATTGGAGTCCACCGCAGCTTCAGCAAGGTAAGAGTCCACAAGCTTAGCCACCTTCATCAATGCAGCTCCACTTCTGAAAGTTTCATCCAAATTCAAGAACCTTTTGACCAGTCTAAGAGCCAGTTCAACGTCAAGCAATGTCCCAGAAGTATGACTAAAAGACAGTATCATGAAATCCTTGAGCGAAGCCTGGTCAAGCTGCCAAGAAATTCTCTTCTCTAACTCGACCCTGAAAGTGGGCTCAACACCAACCATGCAGGCGGTCCGGAGCAGCCTCAGAAGGAAGCTACAGGGGACAGAATCCTTCTCAGGGGGAAGGATTCCGACCAGGGTCTCGACGAAAAACCTCTTCTTCATCCAAGAAGATGTGACGCTATCAGGGGATTCTTCAAGATTTATCAGGCCTTTTTCTACCTCATCCCCTGAACCTGACAAGTCAGGAAGCCACTTGGATGAATAATGGGCGATGATTGAACCAATCAATTCAGGCCGTACTCCCTTGGCTTTAATTCCGGATACAGTCTTAACAAAGTAATCCATATCAAGAATGCAAGCATCATCAAACCAACAATCTGCTCCGAATTGTGTCGTTCTGCCCGCAAAAGTAGTGATGGACTCTGGCAAAGCCAGTTTATCATTCTTCATTTTGGCAGCAGAATAGCGTTAGATAGCTGTAGAAGAGGACTAGGAAGCTGATGAGTGATGCTAACAAAAGGTTGCTACATTGCTAGTATATCATGCTCTTCACTATTTCAACTGTATGCTTGTGACATAGTCAAACTCGGTACTTGTAGATAAAAGGGCAGAGGTTAAGAAAGGGTAGACCTGGCCACATCATTTAGGATGGCGAAATGGGGGAAAAAAAATTCTTTGTGGTTGGTGCCGTGAACATGGGTGATGAAGAGTATAGGATAAGAAGAGGGAGGAGTGAGGGATGTCCGGTGAAACTATTCGTTTCAAATCCCTTTCGCTGGGATGTCCGGTAATGCTAATTAATTTTGTTCAACAGCAACAGGGAATAATCCATGACATGTCACTCCCAGGACGAATTTGCATTAAAAGGTTTTGTCTCCACCGTAGGCTCAAGGCCTTGTTCGCTTCTTCTGTTCACCAAATTACTACTAGCCCAAAGTAAGTTGCAGCAACACTTTATGCCGTGTAAATGTAATATTCTTTCTTTCTTCTTTTTTTTCATCTTATGTGGATTGGTAGAGTATGGTAACTTCTGATCTCAATTCTCAAACACTACCCAGCGGTATTGTGTCCTTTAAGCGGTAACTGTGTCAGTTGAATGGGTTTATTTGATTTGGATTCAAGTGTCATTCGACTGCTGCTCCAAACCCCAAAAAAAAAAATATATATATATATATCCGAATGCTACCGGATTTGGGCCTTTCAGATTGTTGCCCATCAAAAGTTGGCCTCATTTTAGCAACCCAATGGTAACCCTAGTTGGTAGATTGAACAGCTTTTTTGTGCCTAGCCCAGTCCTATGCCTGCTATATTATCATTGAATCCATTGCTTGCTTGAGAGAAATGTTCTCAGCGTTGTATGCACCACGGCAAACACTCAGACCCCCCCTGTGCATTCACACATTGCCATGCCAGGAAGACAAGCCATTGTGATATACAAGACAGTTACCCAGATAGACCGTTATGATATACAAGACACACCAGCTCACTCGTTTTCTCATAAAAAATACAACAGCTGCAGAGAGAGATTGTGGAAGAAAATAGAAACAACCACTGAAGCTTGAATTTTCTAGCGAGACAACCACTAAGAGGGGATGTAATTACACTAACTAACATGCCTGAACCATTATGCATTCTCGAGTTAAAATCTTAAATATTCTGCATTCTACATCAACGTATCTAACAAATGTTTCTCAATGGTAAGTAAAAGCATGGAGAAGAATCAAATGAACTACAATAAGCTGGCTGATTACATCTTTATAGTTTTTGATTATTCTGTAAAAGTATGAATTAATCCAAATCCTACCTGCACCACCTTTGAAATCCCCCCTTTAAGTAGTGAACTCAGGAGCACCGCAACCACCACAAAAACTTCCACTTTCATTTCCTTATGGTCTCACGTTCAGCAACTAATTCAACGATATTATCACACACTTCGAGGAGAGGAGGGCTCAGAAGTGCTGGCAGGGCCACCCTCAGCAGGATTTAGAGCTGCTCCACTCGCAAGAGAACCGTTACCAGTCTCATTCTGAGTCATGACCGGGATTTTAACAGATGCTCGCTCCATCTCCTTCTCAAGCTCTTCTTCATGTCGCAATGCAGTAAATTGGCCATCCAAGGACCTGGCTGCCGCTAACCATGCGCCAACAATTATTAGAAGTATACCTCCAAGGTAAGGAGTGGAATTTGCCAGTGAGCCAAAGGTTAATATCATAAACTGTTGAATCAATGCACCACCAGATTTTCCCAATGGATTGCAGACAACATCAATTGCAGCTTTCCCTTTAATCTGATACAAGAATAAAATCAACAATGAGTTTATTTGCAACAAACATTAGAGCTCAAAATGCTATTTTAGTCTCTCAACCCTAAAAGTTTGTATTTGAGCATAACCTGAAACTAGACAGATCCTACTATCATGCGAGCTACTTTAGATATTGGAAGCCTACATGCTTTCTTTTTTAGTAGTGCTTTCTTAGCTGTTGCATTTTGCATCTATGTACTCATGATGATGATTGAATTTCTGTAACTTGAGATCTTGAATGTTGAATCTTTTATTTAGCTTAAAAAGAAAGAAATCCAAATGGCAAATAAAGGATCAGACCTTGGTCTCCTCATCTAATGGAATATAGGCCATTTCCTTGCACGGATCAAACAAGCTGTATTTGGCACTTTTACTGAAAATGTTTTGCATCGCACCCACATAAACTGCTGCAAGAAGTGGAGTCAGCCCAAACTTGGCAAGAGAAGGCCCAAAAGGGTCACC